AAAAAAAAAAAAAAAAAGAAAGGAAAAAGAAAAAAAAGGAACAATGGAACAATGAGTGACAATGGGTGAATCCAGGACTGAGGCTTGAAATATGAAATCATGGCTTTTAAGATAGAAGTGTTATCTTCCTTAAGTTTCAAGTTAGAGACAAAGAGAGGTGAAATGACTTGAGTCAGTGGCAAAGCCAGAATGAGAGCCTGACTGATTCCTAGTCCAGCTCACTTCCTTTTGCCCTGAGTAGCAGAGATTTACATACCTCTCTGGAGAGAGATCTGCCTTGTTCCCAACTAAAACCACTGGCACCCTGTGAGGAAACAGCAGTTACTACAGAATCCCCTCTCACTCCCCACATTCCCCAACTCCTTACATCAAGGCTGGACAACTCCTCATCAGACCAGGCCAGATCTATATCCCAGCCTCCTCTCTAACTTGGACAATTCTCCCCTCTGCTCTCTTCCACTCCCTCATGCCCATACTATGTCTCTATCCCCCAGGGCCACTTACCGGGTTTTCCCATGGCCTTCGTGTAGCTTTTGGTACAGACTCTCAATGACTTGGAAGCTTTAAACACAAGAACTGGAGCTATAACTTTTTTTTTTTTTTTGAGACGGAGTCTTGCTCTGTCACCAGGCTGGAGTGCAGTGGCAATCTCGGCTCACTGCAACCTCTGCCTCCTGGGTTCAAGCGATTCTTCCGCCTCAGCCTCCCGAGTAGCTGGGACCACAGGTACATGCCACCATGCCCGGCTATTTTGTTGTATTTTTAGTAGAGACGGGGTTTCACCATGTTGGCCAGGAAGGTCTCGATCTCTTGACCTCGTGATCTGCCCGCCTCGGCCTCCCAAAGTGCTGGGATTACAGGCATGAGCCACCACGCGCGGCCTAGAGCTATAACTTTATTAGACAGTTCTCAGATCCTCCCCAGTCCCCCACTCAAACCTTGGTCACTTACCTATGCAGAGAGGTGACAGAATACACGAGCACATAACCATGGACCCCAATGATGAATGAATAGGGCAGAATGCTGTACTCATCCTGGGAAGAAATGGAAACATCACTACCTAGATTCAAACCACTCCAATGGCAAAGGTTGGTGGGACAACATCCACATGACCCTCCCTGGGGCATTCCCTCCTATAGTCACTTCCACAAATATTTATGGAGCAGCTCCAATGAGCACTGCACACTGTTAGCAGGTAAGATGCTTTCAATACTACTATACAGATGAGCCATAAAGACTACCAGACTTCATCTGTGAGGGCTGAACTGCCACATTTGGATACCATACCCCAACTGGTACCTGCCCTGCTGTGTCCACCAGGTGTAGGTGAAACTCATCTTTGCCAAGAGTCAGTATCTTGCTGTAAGCTGGAAAGAAAAGAAAACTTGACTGTGAGGTACCTTATAGGGACAGTGATGTATGTCCCCTTATTTTTTTTTTTATTTTAGAGATGAGGGTGTTGCTATGTTACCCAGGCTGTATAGCACTAGCTATTCACAGGTGTACTCTTAGCACCTTATAGCCTAGAACCCCTGGGCTCAAGCAATCCTCTGACCTCAGCCTCTCAAGTAGTTGGAACTATAGGTATGTACCTCTGCACCTGCCTGTCTCCTTACCTTCTTTTTTTTTGGCAGCATTTTTTAAAGTAGAATCTTGATCAGGTGTGGGGACTCACACCTATAATCCCAGCACTTTGGGAGGCCAAAGCGGCTGGATCACTTAAGACCAGGAGTTGGCCGGGCGCGGTGGCTCAAGCCTGTAATCCCAGCACTTTGGGAGGCCGAGGCGGGTGGATCA